GACTGGAACCGTGGCATCGACTTCGAGGGTGGTGCCGTCACCGTTGATGATCAGAGCCTTCTGGGCGGGCACAAAGGTCGGTGCATTCGTGGATGCCGCGTTGTTTCGAAGTGCCCAAGGTCTATACGCGGTCAAACATCGCGGGCAAGAGTACCGACCGTGTTGCGAGGAAATCGAGTAGTCCCACGAGATCTGTCGGAGCCAATGGTGATTGTGTATCACCGCGGTGCAATCCTTCGAGCGACAGACGAAGTGTTGGTCGATGCTGTCGGAGACACGAAACAACCAATCGGTGAGTGGGGCCTCGGCGGTAACCATGTTCCAGAACTCATCGGCGTTCCAGTTCGGGTCGATGGATCGAGCGACGGTCGTGACCTCCCACTGGGCGAAGGCTTGGAACACTCGCTGCTTCTGGTCGGAGTCAAGCTTGGCGAGGTCCGCGACGAAAATGTCGGTGAGTCGTAGTATTCGACTTCGTACCTCGCGTCGAATGTTCGACTTGCTGTCGCCAGGCCTTTCGCGTTCGATGTCCTCGCACATTTGCTTCCACGAAGCGGCTCGCTTCCTCGAGGTCTCGAGGTTGATCTGCTTGCGCACGGAGTTGACCTTCTGGCAAATCGTGTACCAGTCGGGGATGCTGATCGTGTCGTAGCGGGTCGAGTTCTTGCGGACGAATGTCGGCTTCCGAACCCAACGACACTTCGCGGTATCCCAGTAGTTGTCGAAGAAGACCTTGCAGTAGAATCCATGCGTTCGCTCGATCGCGATGTGCCACCCAGGCGGCTTGACTTCGTGGTTGTCGTCGCGATCGTAGAGCTGTCGACGGTCCTTGTGGTTATAGGGAAGGTCTCGAAGGTTGCCTCGTAGTCCTATCTTGGCCGGTGACAAGTCGGAGTTCTCGGCGTACCACACGAAGTCCTCGTTGGCCCCGGTTGCGCACTGGTAGCAACACCTGTAGTGGATGTTGCGCCAGTCGTCCTGGCCGTCGGGGTTAACCGAGAGGAGATAGTAAGGCGGAAACAGCAGACCACAAAAGGTGCAATCGATGGATCCATCGTGGAGCTTGTCGTTGGCCGGAGTGCTGAAGTACTTGAGGTACATCTCGACTCGGTCGACATCGCGTTTGTGGTGATCTTCGATCGATGTCCCATCGCGACCAATGAGCTCGATGGGCATGCCGTTCTCGTCGACCTCCTCGCCGGTAAGTTGTCGGCGCCAAATCGCCGCCAGCTCGGAGTCTGTCGAGTTCGGGAACTGCTTTCGTAGTGATGACATCGCGAGCTGTTCGGAGGCTCGTCTGAAAGCGATGACCTCCAAGGCTCCCTGGGTGTGATGGTCATCGTAGAGCCTTCGTTGTAATTTCAGTGCTCGGCCCTCGTCGGTGTCCGGGTGGACTCCCTCGAGGTATCGAGCGGCCGGCAAAACTGCTCCGGAGCTGCTGCCGGGCATTTGGGAAAACTGCTCGATGGGATCGAGCTGAGTCGCCGATGTCTCGGGGAACTGTTCAATCGGATCCGACTCAATCGGGGACTGGCGAGAGTGTGCCATCACTTCGGGTGGATCGGGAGGTTCGGGTAACACGAGTCGAGCTTGAGAGGTCGAAGTCTACGGAAGCCAAGCAATCTCCAAGGAGAGAGCAGGCCCCACTACAACTAGTAGAGCCTGATGCAACCGAGTAACATGTCCTACAGGCAAGCACATTTGGTCTTGTCGTCGTATGTAACGAGTCATTCGGGGGGTTGAGACCTACGGGTCAGGTGGACGCATCGCCGAGGCGGAAGTCCCCTTCTACCGAAACGGTCACTGACCCGGAAACACCCGTACATCGCCGAGGCGGAAACGGGGCGACCGTGAGACCTAAAGGTCGGGTAGGCCTCGTGTAAAGGCTCACGCATTCTCGCGGAATCGCAGGATGAAAGCCGGCGGCTCCGCGGCGATCATCGATCGCATTCGCTCGTGTTGGGCGAAGGCACTTCGCATCGCCGGTGAGAGCATATTCGAAGTGCATGAAAGGATCGCCGAGGCCTGCTCCCGAAAGAAGGTCTGCATGGGCTCGAAGTATGGCATCTGCGCCGCGAAGGTGTTGAGATTCCTCGCCGTGTGGCACCAAATTCGGAGTCGGTTCATCCGATCTTCCACCGAAGTATGGTTCAGGTCGGAGAGAGAGGCGGTGATGCTGTGCCACACCATCGAGTAGATCAAGGTAGTCCGGGGTTCCACGAAGTTATTCGGGACACCCAGGAGCAACACCCGTTCCTGCAGTACGTCGTCTTGCGGGGTGTGGATCGGGAGGTCGATGTAAAGGCCGTATTGGGTGAGGTAGCTCCCGAAAGTAGGGCATCGGAGTACCTGTTCGATGTAGATGATGCCATCGTATGTGATCTCCCATGGAGTGTCGAAGGCGAAGGAGGAGTAGGGGTGATTGCCAGGTGGCAACATCGCGACATTGTGGCCACCCACCGGCGTCATCGCTTGCAAATTCGCCGACATCATCGGGAAGTTGTCGAAGTGGCGCAGTGTTTGAAAGCCAAACACTGGCTCGTGTGATGACGGTGCATTGGATCGGACATCGTCGATCGAAGTGCGCCCCTTCTCCACCACCTGCGAGTCGCGCCACTGCACTCGGAATCTCTCGAGGCATGACTGTCGTGGTGGTTGTGGCTGAACCGCGACCGGTACACTCGTGTAAGGATTCCCCAAGGAGGTCGTGATAGTCGAGGAAGAGGCCGCCCGACTCGTTGGTATCTGGCCGTAAGACTTGCCTCGGGTCATTTCGTGTCAAGTCCACAGCAGGGTGGACGGAGAATCTCGGAGGCACGACCTTTCCAAACCCCGCGGAGCTGTCGGCGTCGGGGTGTGGTCGTTTGGGCATGGCCTTGGTCTTAGTGCTCACGAGAGTCGAAGAAGCGGCAGCCCCAAAGGATGGGTTGATCCACTCGGATTCACTCGCGGAATTGGCCACCGGCCCAGAGCTCCTTGGGTTCATCGATGTCGCAGGGTTGGCTGTAGTAACCACGGTCGGAGGAGTCGGTGGTGGTGTCGCGGAATCATCGTCCTCGTGCCAAGGATCTGGCGACCTCGGCCTCGTCTGCGGTGTCGTGGTAGTCGGTGGGGCCGCCGGAGTCGTGGCTGGTGTCGAAGCGGCGATCTCATCCGGGATTTCGACGATCACCGGGGTCTTAGAGTCGAGCCATCTCTTCGCCGGTGACGGGGATCTCTTCGGGAATCTCGCCGGAGAAAGCGGTCGTTGTGATCCCCTGGCTGCTCCATCGCCGTGGCGGAAAGCAGTTCGGGGTTCACGGCCGAAGCTGGGTGCATCGGAGTCCGTATCCGTGCTGACCTGGAAGAAAGTTCTCCTTGGTGTCGGCGGAGTCGGCGTAGTCGAAGGTGCCGCCGATGGGAACGCTGCCGGAGGTGCTGTCGATGGGGCTGCTGTAGAAGGGGCTGACGAGGGAGCCGCTGAAGGGGGCCATCGGGGTCTCGAAGTCGGGAAAATCGCTCCCCGTGTCGGAGTGGGGTGTTGTCCCCAGGTCTCGATTCCTCGCGAACTCTACGGGGAGAGCGTCCTCGACGATGCAGGCCATCCGCGATTTCTTGTCGTAGTTGTTGGGCAACATCAGATTTATCCCACGATTCGTAGTCGTAGTACCGAAGGAAGTTTGTGCCAAAGTTGAACTTGCGCATCTCGGCGGAACGGAAAGTGGTCATCGAGTCCATGATCCACTCACGAGCCTGTGCTCGGTTGACCTGCTCGATGATTCCGTTCTTCGACGAGTAATGGTAAGGTGGTTCACCTCGACGATTCTGTCGCTGTACTACGAAAGCCTGTCGCATAGCTTCGTCGAACGTGTGGCCATGTTGATTCCAGCACGTATTGTGGTACTCGCAGCATCCCTGGAACCATTTGTGGCATATGAGGTTGGGCACTACCCACTGTTTGTTGAGGAAATCGGGGTGAAGAAAACCACAATTGGCCATGTTACAGTTCTTCTTCTCGAGAAGGCGGGGACAAAGCTGTCGTCGTATCTCGGAGATGGGGACTTGGGCCGTGTCGCTGACTACTTCGGGGTACTCGTTAAGCATCGACTCTGGAACAGGGGCCGTCATCTTCACCAACGTGCCCTCGCAGAGAAAATCGAACCATGAGTCGGCTCGGGTACGTGCCATGGCTACGAATTGGCTAGTCCAAATCGATGGTAATCGAAGTAGTGGGCTTGAGATGCCCTTCGAAGTTCCGCTTTCGAGCTTTAGAGGCAGCGGGTTCGGGAGTATGTAATTCCATGCCGAAATCATCACGAAAAATGTCTGCCAAATGCTGATTATGCAGATCGGTCTCATGCACAAGAAGAGCAGCGTCGGTGTCAGCTGGTAGGGGTGCATGATCGGAGTCGGGGTGTAGGGAAGCCTCGACGATCTCGAACGGCACCGTCAGCGGCTCCGCGGACTCGTCGCGGTTGGTGATGTGCAGGTACAGGAAGGCCTCGAGGTTGGGCGGTTTCAACAAAGTCGCCGCAAGATTGACAATGTTGTCGCCGTCTGACACTGGGCGATATGATCGAGTGCCTTTCGTATCTGTCGGGATTGTCGCTTGTTCCAAGCTCCCCACGTCACATCCTCGGGTTTCTCGACTTGAAAATCTTCGAGAACTTGCTCGCGGCTGAATTCCTCGAGCGATTCCTTCAGACTGTCAATAACTGACAGAGAAGCCGTAGTGCTCGAGGTACTGGCCGCCAGCAGCGGTCGTAGTAGTGCTCGGGGTACTGGCCGCCCGGGCGGCTATGACCGAGGAGTGATCCGAGGGGACTGAAACAAAATTTCACTCAAGCTGTAACAGCTTTCGCCAAAATGGCCACGGAGTATACAATCATTCGACATGAATCGGTGAGTCAATCCCCTGACCGATTCGGTGTTTAAGTGAGATATGAAGTTGTCACTTCGCACAAACAAGTGTGTGCTACACAACAAAGTGCTCCTGACATCAGGGTCAGGCTTCCCTCGGCCTTCTTCTTGATGTGGCTGGGAGCATCAACCTTGCCAAAGGTCACATGGAGGTCGCGATGGTCTGGCATGTCTGGCCGCCAGCCGAACTTCATGTTTGTGCGCATGGGCAGGGACACAACGTTTGGATGTCTGGGCGCCCCTCCAATCTGCAGCTTGCCACTCTCTAAGATGCTGCTGGTGTTCTTGAAGCCCTCAACCCAGTTGATGGCCCAGAAGTCAGAGGCAAGCGCCGGATGGCACATGTACTCGTAGGGCATGTAGAAGTAGCCCTTGTCGCCCCACCTCTGCAAAAATGACTAGACAAACACAGCTGTCACCTCAAATCATGTCAAATCCGTCCCAAAATTGCCCCTAAATCACCGGAGTGCCTGACAGCACGACCGACCGATAAACAGCAACAACACTTGTGGACGAGACACGCTTCGCCCCAAGAGTTGCGGACAATGAAGCACTGCTGGAAGTCGTCGTAGCCCACGGCGCACACGGCATGGCCGCCCAGCTGCTGGTCGGTTGCCTGGGGCATCACCATCTTGCCGGTCCTGGCAACCTCCGCTGTCTGGAAGCTTGACAAGACGGCAAAGCCAAAGACGAAGGGGTAGCCGTTCTTGAGGCATGCCTTGAACTGGCTCAGATCTTGCGCGACACGAGCATAGCCCATAACCCTGCACTTCTGCGCAAGCTCGTAAGACTTGTCGTCTGGCTGTTGCTTGAAGAAATCCGGTCCATCATCGTACTTCCAGATACTCTCCGGGCACACCCCGACCTTGGACATCGTCTTGATGCCGTCACGAATCATCGCCCCAGCGTCCTGGTTCACGCTGCCCTCGACGAGGCGTTCATTGTAGTAGATGAACAGTCGGCTGGGGGTGAAGTCTGCGAAATCCTTGTGGTTTTCCACCTGCATCTTGTGGAGGGTGAAGTGGAAGGCTGCTGCCAAGGCATTTGCCGTGCAGCTGCCGAGATGTCCCTGATCGAAGATGGGAAAGCCACCGTTCATGGGTCGCAGGTCAACGATTTCCTTCTCTCCTCGAACAAAGACGCAAGATGGTGATGCAGGTAACACAATCTCAAGCCGACGAGCATTTCTAAACTAAAGCCAAACACTTGCTCTCAGGACCCCGTCTCCCTCGGACTTCTTCGTGATGTGGCTCGGCGCATCAACCTTGTCAAAGGTTACGCGGAGGTCACGGTGGTCCGGCATGTCCGGTCTCCACCCGAACTTCATGTTGGTTCCTGGGCTCTTGCAAACTCCTTCTTCAGCTAGACTTCAGGTAGCTACAGCCGCATTCAAGCGCAGTGCTCTTCCCTATGCCTCACCCCTTCTTCTTCTTCTTCTTCTAGACATGACCAAAGCCACATGCTTCGATCGAAGTCCCTTTCCTAAGCACCAGAGCGCATGCGAGGTGCGCATGGGCAGGGACATGAGGCTCGGATGCCTCTGCGCCGCTCCGACCTGCAGCTCGCTGCTGGAGCTCACGCTGCTCGCGTTGCAGTTGCCCATCTTGGCGAACCTCGGCGAAACCATGGGCTCTTTTCATGAATTCAGGCAATAATAATAGTAGTAATGGTAATAATAATAATAATAATAATAATAATAATTAAAAATAACAGTAATAATAATAATCAATAATAATAATAGTAATAATAATAATCATCATCATCATCATAATAGTCATAATAATGGTGCTAATCATAATACTGGCAGTAGTAGCAATATGATCGATCCAGCATCGGGTCGAGGCCTGCAACGTCTTGTGGTTAAGGTTCAATGGTTCGGGGTCAATGAGTCAAGGGGGCCGAGGATTCCGGGCTTGGACGCTGGAAGACGGAAGTTGCTATGTAAGTCGACACCGTACACCCACATAAAGCTCGAAGCAACACGGCCGCCAGAGCATGAATTTCAGGCTGCTACTACTCTACCCGGTAACTACTACCCGTCTACGACAGCAAGCCTTCGTGAGGCTTTTGATTTAGGGTTGGGCCGCGGGCCTTGCATTGCTCCTAGGCCTCCAATGCCCTCATGTGAAACGGCCAGCCAAGCAGCAGAAAAAGGAGTCCGGGAAAGAGGACGGCGTGATGTTCTGCTAGGCTGGGATCAGCAACGGTTGAAGCAAGCACAGGTTCCAGTGACGTCCGTTGAGCTGATACAACATGTACTGTGGATCTACCGACCTACCGACCTGCTAACCTGCGAACCTACCCACCTACCTCCCTGCCTGCCTGTCTACCTATCTATGTACCTACCTACCTACATGACCGACATCTACCTCCCTCACTACCTGATTGCCTATCTACTAAACTCTGTGCATGCATGCGCACATTACCATTACATTGCATTACTACATTACATACCGACACGTGCAGACACATGTATACGTACAGCTAATCTCATGATGTCTGATTTGCCGCAACTGCGACAACCTGACTGGTGACCAACGTGTAGCAGCACTGCTGCTCGTGTCGATTCTTATTGCTCCACCGGCTGCAGCTGCGATTTTGCTACTTTTTTAGACTATTCCTGCAGCGACTCCTGGTAGTGCGGTGGGGTCGAAATACTTTCGGATTTTTCTGGTAAACGCATGCAAAAACCCTGCGTTCTCGTAAGCATGACCCTATACTGTGGAACTTAGGTACAGAGGCTATCGGAATGCAGGAATTTTTGTCCATCAGCAATAGCGGAACGGCTTTCGAATGCTTCCGAATCCCTACTCGCCGAGTTGTCGAGGAACTACAGGGAAGCCTTTTGAGATGATATTGCGGGATCTACCTCAACAAGCTAACTAGGATGCCCAGTAACCTAGGAAAAAATGGGCTCCCTTTTTGGTATTGGGTAACTTTATAAGGAACCTATAGGACTACAAAAAGGGAATAAGGGTACTACTGGGCATCCTAGTTAAAGGTAACGCCAATGGATTACAATTGATTACCCTGCTTATCACCGCGCCCTTTGCGATCCAGTGCAGCATCCAACTCCCTGTGTCGGCACCCTGCTCCGGCTGTTTCGCCGAGCGGCGGCCCAAACAACTTGTGTCGATTTGGACCAAGCCGAGCACTTCTACGCAGGCAACAAAGCTAGGGGTTCTCAGAGTAGAAGAGGGGTTTTCAGTTTAGGTTTAGGTCTGCATGGCAAGCATGCTCTATCCTAGGTCATGTAGTGTTCTGTGCTCGGGGTTACTCACACCGCCAGTAACTGACTACGAGCTGTAGAAGTTCTGACGAGGTTTTTGCGGGCAAACTGCTGCAGCATGTAATGTTTTCTAGGAACGATAAGGACATGTTATTGGTGATTCTTCCGACCCCTAGATTACTTCAACGACCATGGGGAGTTCAACACCAACCTTGTTGGCACCTTGACTTGCTACGTGCCAATACATCTTGACGACGGGGTTCAAGAGTCTACTGAAGAGCTTAGGGCTATGATACGAAAATATACCTCAATGTACCTAAACATTCTGGCATACAATGTACTATTACCTAAACCATCCTAAACCCTAGACCCAAAACCCTTATGATATACTACACTATAACATGCAAAGGCTTTGGGCTTCGAGCTCAGGGTTTTCCCCCTCTCCACGAAGTGGACAAGTGGCCGCTTCAGCTCAGCCGCTTCGTGCCCAGGCCCCGCTTAAAGCGGTCCTGTAGCTGAGCCAAAGGGTTAGGGTTTAGGGTTTAGGGCTCAGGGCTTAGGGTATAGGGTTTAGGGTTTAGGGCTTAGGGTTTTAAAGGGTTGAGAGTTTGGAGTTTAGGGTTTAGGGCTTAGGGTTTTAAAGGGTTTAGGGCTTAGGGTTTTAAAGGGTTTAGGGGCTCAGGGTAGGGTTCAGAGTTTCAAGGTCTAAATTCTGGAAGTTTACAAGAAAGTTTGGGTGTAGGTTTTAGGGTTCACTTGCGGCCCCTCCAAACTAAGCCCAACACTCAACACTAAAACCCTAAACCCCAAATCCTGAAACCCCACACCCTCAGAATGGGCACTGATGCCATCGAAGTGAACGCCCAGAATTTCAATGCGCCCCCCTTGAGCTTCGAACTCCCCGCGGAAGGCTCGAGCATGGCAATGAAGAAGATTCCAGTTCCAGGTTTAGAGTTTAGGGTTTATGGCCCTTAAAACCCCAAAACACCCCCTCCCCTCTCTACCCATGAATGCTTTTGCCCCCTGGACGCACAGTACGAATCTCAATGAGCCCACTGGGGAATGCTGTTATCAAGTTTGTAGGGCAACAAACGACATAAATCGTTAGTGCATCAAAGTATTATGCGTCCATACCCGCTTGCAACTTGACTCAGTGCATCTGGGCCTTCCTCAAACGGCTGATGCTTGGTAGACCTTCAACCCTGCAGCATCCTGCATCTTCGAAGGACTTCACCCACTCGATGGACCAGAAGTCGTGTGCGAGGTCCGGATTGCAGATATACTCCTGGCTTGTGTAGTCGTTTCGCACTTCGGGTGTGGATCAACGGACTATGGCTATGGTTTGGACCCTAGGGCTGGAGCGGGATGTTCATGCCAAAGCCCAGAATCCACCCACAGTAGTTGCCCAGTACTCCGTGGTGTGGATTATGAAGGAGATCATGAGAAATGAGGTCTGTTGTACTTGGTACAGCCCATCACGGGGTTGGGAATCAGCACGGAACCCTAAGCCCTAAATCCCAAAACCCGACACCAAGTCTCGGATTTGTTTCATAAGAAGGCCCAGGCTTTAGTGTGGGGGGTTGGGGGGGTCTCAGCTTCCTGTCTCTTGCTTGGCACTTCGTTTTTGGTTTAAGGGTCTAGGGGTTACGGTTTAGGGTTTAGGGTTTAAGGGTTAGGGTTTAGGGGTTAGGGCTTAGTCTTCAAGGTTGAACGTGGGCATGTCGTGTCACGACGGAATGTTTCCTGGGCTTTGGGTCTGAGTTTCGGACCGTTGACCGTTGACTTTCCGAAAGCTCCAACACAGCAAACGCAAAGTGTTTAGGGTTTAGGGGGCTCTAAACGAACCCGAACCGACAAACACCCGACCCCCTCTACAAAGAGCTTGCCAAGGGACGAAGGGCCCTAAACCCCAAACCCTGAACCCTATCAAGGGCTTGCCAAGGGACGAAGGGCATGTAGAAGTATCCCTTGTCACCCCACCTGGCAACGACGGAGGGCGAGACTTGAGGCTCCAGAGTTAGTTCTCCATAACCCTCTGAACCCTAAGCCCTGAACCCCTGAACCCTAAACCCCTAAGCCCCTGAACCCTAAACCCCTGAACCCTAAATTAGGGTCCCTTAGGCTCACTTTCCGAAGGGTGTCGTAACTATTGCTTGTGGGACCTAGACAGGGGACCTAGTGTAGAGGACTACCCATATGAATATACCCAATTACTTAAAGGATGACAATAGCAATCCGTGGCAGCATAAGCTATAAAAAGGGTCCTGAGTATGAGAAATGTGTGTATGTATATGTATATATATATATATATATATATGTAAATATATATATATATATATATATATATATATATATATATATGCAATGTTTGTATACAGTATATTTATATGCTTATATATGATATTCCTCCGTTGCCAGAACCTCTATGGAGCAACTTGTAACACTCTCTAAAACAACACATTCTAGAACCCCCTAACACAACCATAGATCCCTATCTATGTTCCTCAATTACGGGTGGGGGGGGTTGAATTCCGGTGTGAATTCAACAGAATCCGATCCCGAACCCTCCGGTGCGATCCTGAACCCAACGACTCGAAGCTGAACCATAATGCTTTTGTTCCTAGAGGCTCATACCCTACTCCTTTTTTGGGTTACCTTTTTTCTAAGACAGGTCTTGACTTCAGAACTAGGTACCCGAAAAAAGGGGTAGGGTAGGGCATGAGCCTATGGGTCAGGGCTTTTAGAGGGTGTAGGGTTTGGGCAGTTCCGGCAAGGTAGAACCCAGTACGAATACGTAAGACTACCTCCGTTTAGGGTTTGGGGTTTAGGGCTGAGGGCTTGAGGCATTCACCTCGAGCTGACCTCGAAAACTCATAGGAATCCTCATACGCGCCAATCTACGGGAAGGTTGCTCTGCCCCTGTTCCATGCATCCAAAACTTGCGTGATTGAAAAAACACAGCTCCTAGCCCCAAACCTCCCAGCCACTTACCTTCAAAGGCTGGCTTTCGCTGTGGAGTCTAACCTAATGCAAGGGGCTTCATCATTAGAGCAGGACTTTGCAGTTTGCTACAGTGCGGCCACGCAGGGACCATAAGCGACTACTGCTGGTTATTTTTCGGGCCCGTCTACCCATAGGCTCATAGGCCCCATAGTAGTTAATATGGGAGTTTCCGACAATTGGGGGTACCTTATGTGGGGTCCCTATAATAAGGATCCTACTATTTAGGGTTCTATATTAGGGTCCCCTATTTTCGGAAACTCCCATAAAAAGGCCTGAATAATTAGAACAGAGTCTTGGGGCCCAGTATACTATAGTTATATTTCGAATTTTTTTGGCCCCTATAGTACCTGATTAAGAAACCCTGGGCCTAT